CAAGAGCACTGGCTGCTCTTCCAGAGGACCTAGGTTCAATTTCCAGCACCCACATGGTAACTCACAACTACCTATAACTCCAGTTACAGGGGGTTCCTAGACCTTCTCCTGGCTTCCATATCTACTAGGTAAAAGAGACAGTCCATGGTTCTAAAGAGTTTATTGGTTGTTTGTGTTGGAAAATGGATGCATAACGGACCATGCCCATTTCTCAAGGTAGGCCAGAGATTAAATACCTTTTACAGGGGAGAATGTTTGGGAAGGGAAGCTTATTGGCTAAGCCCTCTGGGCCTCTAGGTACCTCATTAGCATGGAAAACTTGTTTCGGGCCTACATGACCATAGGACACATTTCTTTTATCTGAGGAACATGGCATGTGTTCCTGGTCAGGAATCAGGCAGGGAGCAGGGAGTCGCCTGAGTCTCTGGGTCTCACACTGCTTTCTTTACCTTAACAAACTTCCTGTCGTGGTTTTACCATGCAACACTTATGAGTAGAATGATTAACTACATACAGTCGGTAGTGTGGCCTGTTTTACAGAGCGTAAGGTTTCTGAGGTTCGTGTGTGTTTCTGTGTGGTAGTGGTTTACTCTGTTTTGCCAAGGACTCCTTTGTTCAAACATTGACATTTGTTCTCCTTATCAGTGGGTCGATATCTTTGTTTTTTAGTTTGGGGCTACTGTGAATAAAACGTCTGTGAACATTTTGAGACCATGTTTCTTAAAAAAAATACATAAAACTGCCGGGTGGTGGTGGCACACACCTTTAATCCCAGCACTTGGGAGGCAGAGACAGGAGGATTTCTGAGTTCGAGGCCAGCCTGGTCTACAGAGTGAGTTCCAGGACAGCCAGGGCTACACAGAGAAACCCTGTCTCGAAAAAAAAAACAAAACCATAAAATAATAAAAATGGGAAAGTGGATTTATTTATAGCTCTCAGTCTACCTCTGTGTCACCTGTGGCAAGGTTAGAACTGACAGAAAAGCAGCTGGTGAGCACTTTGAGTTGCCTGTTTTAGGAATATAACCATGCCACTTAACAGAATATATATATATGTGTGTATATACACACACACATATATATATATTCATAGATGTAAAAGAATTATGTCTCCCTTGCTTTATAAGCAATTCTGACATTAACTGCAGCTTTCTACATGCATATTAATGGGAAATTTGGAAATTCATAGTGCTCTGTCACATTCCTCTTGTCCTGGTACCTTCCGACATACACTTTAGAAAGGCCAATTTCAAAGTCAGTGCTTCCTGTATAGTTTTGTGTTATTTTGGGGTGACTATTGCATATAACATAGTTAACCTCTGTTTTCCCCTCAGTGGTATGGGAACCCCTGGGAAACAATTCCCTCACTTATGACATTACTGTACTTTATATCCAACATTTTAACTTGTATGAGAGTTTCAGTTACTTAACAATCATGTTCCAACAGGTTTGCCACTCCCTGACTCTACGTTGGTCAACTTTTGCTCCATGAGTCACATAACTCATGTATTCAAGAAAAGCTGTAATCTGCTCAGGCCTTTTCTTGCTTTATGTGAAACAACATGTTCTTTCCTTCTTTAAACCCTCTGTGCTACACCTGAAAGTCACTGTGTGTTCTGTGGTTACAGATTGCGGATGGGGAAGGGATAACTGATTTCAAAATTGGTGTTAACATAACCAGATATTCACATATCTCAAACACCTTGATCTTTCATATATAAAATTTACTCAGGGCTGAAGAGATGGCTCAATGGTTAGTCACATTTGTTGCTCTGTGAGAGAACATGGCAGCTTACAACCATTTGTAACATCATTTCCAGGGGCTCCAAAGCTCTCTCCTGACCTCCAGAGGCACCACATATGCAAGTGATGCACGTACATACAGGCAGGCAAAGCATACATAAATATTGAATAAATCTAACTAAAAACTATTCCAGGTAAATTGTATACACTAGCAAAACAAAGTACAAGTTTTGTTTAAAAACAAAATGGCTGGGCAGTGGTGGTGCACACCTTTAATCCCAGCACTTGGGAGACAAAGGCAGGTGGATTTCTGAGTTCGAGGCCAGCCTGGTCTACAGAGTGAGTTCCAGGACAGCCAGAGCTATACAGAGAAACCCTGTCTTGAAAAACAACAACAGAAGAAGAGGAAGAGGAAGAGGAAGAGGAAGAGGAAGAGGAAGAGGAAGAGGAAGAAGAAGAAGAAGAAGAAGAAGAAGAAGAAGGAGAAGAAGAAGAAGAAACTAGTTTTATTTTGTGACATGCTGGATTTTTTTTTAAGGTAGAACACACACAAAAAAAAAGCATGACATGAAAGCAAACACAGTGTTATTTAAATCTGATAGAAGAAAACTGCATGTTAAAGTTTTTGTTGTCCTGTTTTGTTTGCAGCCAGGTCTCAGGAAGTCTGTGCTGCCCTTGAACTCGATATGTAGATAGAAAAGACATTGAACTTCTGATCCTCCAGCCTTTACTTACCAAGTGCTGGTATTACATCATTTGGACTGCTGAGATGTTTCAGCAGGTAAAACCACTAGTCAGGAGAGTCTAGCAATCCAAGATCCCGTCCCTGGAACTCAGTAAAAAGCCTGATGTGGTGGTATCTGTAATCCCGTAACTCCAACAGTGAGGTGGGGGATGGAGAGGGAGGTAGGAGAATTTCTGGGAAGCTCTTCAGCCAGCTATCCTAGATTGAAAAGCTCTGCAGCAGAAACAAGAGAGCCCTGCTTCAACGAGATGGGAGGTAAGGACTACTTCCTGAGACTTCTCCTCTGACCCCCTCACAATGCACACACACACAAAGTCTGCTTTACAAAAGGAAATCAGGCAGGCATGGTAGTGCATACCCCTTAATCCCAGCATTCAGAATCAGAGGCAGGTGGATCTCTGTGAATTCAAGACCAGTCTGGTCTACATAGTGAGTCCCAGGACAGCCAGAGCTACATAGGGAGACCATGTCTCAAAACAAAATAATTAGTTAATTAATTATTAAAGAAATTATGGTCCTTTCATCTAATATATTTAAGGTTTTCATTAGGGTCATCATTAAGATTATATTCACCTAAACTATACTAGTTGGTTCTCTTATTGCTAATTGAAACTTATTCTCTCACTACCATATAAAATGTCTGTCATAAAATAACCAAAGTGAGTGTCTGCCTGTGTGTGTGAGTGATTAGGTTGTCATCAGATTTGCTCAGTGGTTTCCATTGCATTATGTTGAAGTTCCATTGCAACTTCAGAAGGTGTGTGTGCAAAAGTTCAGCAGCCTCCAAAAAGACACAATGTGAAGCTAGTTTTCTTATGTGAGTTTGAGCATGCTTTCAGGGTTTTTTTTTTTTTTGGTTTTTTTTTTTTTTTTTTTTTTTTACTACTACTACTACTAGCAAATAGCTTTTTTTTTCTCCCTGAGACAGAAAGTTTCTCTGTGTAGCCCTAGCTGTCCTGGAATTCCCTCTGTAGACCAGGCTGGCCTCAAAGTCAGAAGTCTACCTGTCTCTGCCTCCCAAATGTGGGGATTAAAGGTGTGGGCCATCACTGCCTGGCTTTAAAAAGTTTTTATTGTTTTTCCAGATACAGGATCACAGGCGTTATTCTCATATGATGATAGTAAACTCAGTTTCCTAAATTTTGTTTCAGTGAACAGCTTTGTTCACAATAGTTGTTCGTCTGTGTATTCTCTTGGCCATGCTGAATTCAAGGGCAATTAGGAGCCATGTTGCATGGCTCCAACCACAGTCAAAAAAAAAAAAAAAGGATTCAATTCAAGTCTAGTTTGATGAATCAATAGATTTATTGGGGTTAGTTGCAGGACCACGAATGACTCAACAGTATGTGCGTGGTTGAAGAACCCCACATGCCAGTATGGGTGGCAGGTCACGAAAGTTGGCATTCCTGGTGCAAAATGCAAACAGACAGAATAAGCCTTCCTTCCTCAAACAATTTTTACTCCCGAGTTTGGTCAGTCTCTTGAGTCTGAAAGAATCTGGAAGGAACAGCTATGCAACAAAATGACAGTCCAGACTTTTCCCTGCACAAGCTTCATATTAAAATGTTTTGGCAAGGGCCAGCAAGATGGGGCAAGATTGACTCTGAGGGTAAAAGTATCTGCTGCCAACTCTTGAGCTTGATTGCAGCACCCATATAGTAGAAGCAGAGAACCCCATTACTAACCTCCACCAGCATACATAAAAACACACAAGTAGGTGCTTTACAGTTTCCTTCATATAAAATGTGGAAAGCATGAAAAATATGTAGATTCGACAGGTAGATGTGTACAGGAGATATCCCTAGCCCTAGAGGTGGTATACTTGAAGTACTTTAATATACATCGTTGAAAAAAGTGACACTAGTTACCTACATAACAGTACTACAGTTACAGGTAATAGGAGTCACTGTAACTTTTTAAAATATAAGTGTGATATCCAGTCCATAAACAAGCTTCACTTATTGATCCTGGATGCATTTTTCAGCTTGGTCCCTGCAACCAAGATGCTATCCAGGACACACATGTATTTGCTCTTCTGTTATAAGATCTAAACCACAGTCTCTGGTGCTCGGCTTGGGTTTCAGGTATCAAGATAGACTTTCCATTGCACCTTATTATTCCCTAAACTTTTCAAGAACAAACACCAGGATGAGCTAACTGACCAGAGGTGGAAAATTCTGGGAGATGTAGTCTGAGATAGCTAAAGTTATTGTGCAGCCTTCTGGGAACTGCATCCTCCCTTGGCTTTCACAGGTACAGGTGGCACCAGGCTGGCTGTTTGTCCTGTGGTGGAGAGCGCCACTGTGAGTGCTGGAGGGTATGGGGCCCGGCCAGGCCACCTTTGTCGCTGGAGGTCTGGTTCTGGTGAGAAGATGTTTCCCTGAGCCTGAGAGTGGGAGGAAGACACTGCGGGACCTGGATCACGCAGCTCTCATGTGTTCTCTGTCAACAGGGTTCTGCATTTCCAAACCAGAGGTGATATTCAGGTTGTAACAAGAAGCACCTTGGCTCTCAGAGGAGACATTCTCAAACTGCAGTCACCCAGGTGAGCTGCTAAACACCAATAAACAGAACTTAACGGTGCTTATAGGGGCAAACACCTTTGTTTTGCAAGGCTTGTGTGAAAACGATAAAAATACCAAAAGTCTAGATAATGAAAAATTATTGCTAAGCTTGACTTCATCAAAAATTTAAATGTTGTAACATGGGTCGTGATAGCACACACCTAAGGTCTCACCTACTTGGAACACTGAGCTGGGAGAATTCCTTAAGTCCAAGAGTTCAAAGCCAGCTGGGCAACATTGCAAGACTCTGGCTCAGAAAAACAAATTAAAAAACAAAAGTTTTCAAATAAATTTGAAACAGGATCTCACTATGTATCTTTGGCTGGTCTAAAACTTACTTTGTTACCCAGGCTTTGAACTCATAGAGATCCACTGGCCTCTGCCTCCCCAGTGTTAGGACTAAAAGCATGCACTACCATACCTGACCAAAATAAATTTTAAAACTTTGTTTATATAAGATAACATTAGGACTTTGTGGTGAATAGTCATGGCCCCAATAGAGTCATGTGTTTGAATGCTTGGCCCAGAGGGAGTGGCATTATTAAGAGGTATGGCCTTGTTGGAGTCGATATGGCCTTGCTGAAGGAACTGTGTCGCTGTGGGAACAGGCTTTGAGGTCTCATATGCTAGGCATAGTACAGTAGTCTCTCCCTGCAGCTTGTGTATCAACATGTAGAACTCTCAGTTCCTTCTCCAGCACCATGCCTGCCTGCACTCTGCCATCCTCCCAGCCATGATCATAATGAATTAAACCTCTGAACTGTAAGCCAGCCCCTGTTAAATGTTTTCTTTTATAAGAGTTGCCATGGTCATGGTGTCATATCACAGTAATAAAACCCTAACTAAGACATGATGGTCTTAGGGGTTTCTATTGCTGTGATAAAACACTATGACCAAAGGCAAATTGGAGAGGAAAGGGTTATCTGGTTTACACTTCCACATTGTAGTTCATCCTAGAAAAAAAAAAGTCAGAACAGGCAGGAACCTTACCAGTTTGTTCCCCATGGCTTACTCAGCCTGCTCTCCTATAGAACTCAGTACCACCAGACAAGGGATAGCACTACCTACAATAGCCTGGGCCCTCCCCAATTAATCACTAAACAAGAAAATGTCCTACAGGTTTGCCAACAGCCTGATCTTATGGAGGTATTTTTCCAATTGAGGTTCCCTCCTCTCAGATGACCTCAGCTTGTGTCAAGTTGACAGTAAAATGATCCGGCACAGGCTTGAGAAATGACTCATTGGTAAAAAGCATTTGCCATACATGCTTGAGGATGTGAGTAAGAATCCCAGGCACTCAAATTAAATAACTAGGGTTATTACTGCATGTGCCAGTAACCCTTACACTGGAGATATAGGAGACATGCAGATTCTAGGAGTTCACTGTTCATCCAGTTGTCCCACAGGAATAAACATTGATTAAAGAAAACACCTATATGTAATATATACCACTGGCATGTGGATGTGTATGTACATACTTGTGCACAAACTATACACAACAAATATAAATTAAAAAAATAATAAAAATAATATTAAAGGGACAAAAAGCCAGAGTTACAGGACAGGTGTGTAGAGCAAGTAGTGTAGAAGAGATCAGTTTACTACAGATGTTGGGAAAGGCAGACAAACTAACTGAAACGTGGGTAAAAGACTGAACAGAAACCTTCAAAATGGCAAGTAAGTCTAGAAATGTACTGAATCGCATTCGCTTTTGTGGAACACTAGATTAAAATATACAATGAAATGTAAGTTGAACTAAGAGAAAAGATCAGGCAAGAGTAACAAATCAGTTAAATCCTAGTAAGGATATGGAGTATCAGGGACCCATCTCCACAGACAGAAATGTAAACTCAAAACCACTGTGAAATCAGGATGCTGTCCAGTAGAGTAATGTGACATAACCGTGGGCTCCATTTGCTAGCTGTGCACACTACAAAAGTGTAATTATGTTCTCTAGAGTGTAAAATAGACTACAAATGGGGATGCTGTTTTATATTGGGAAACATTTGACTAACTAGCAGTAGAATGGAGAAATAGTTATATTCTTTTTTGTTTGTTTGTTTGTTTGTTTTTGTTTTTTCGAGACAGGGTTTCTCTATGTAGCTCTTGCTGTCCTGGAACTCACTCTGTAGACCAGGCTGGCCTCGAACTCAGAAATCCACCTGCCTCTGCCTCCCAAGTGCTGGGATTAAAGGTGTGCACCACCACCGCCCGGCAAGAAATAGGTAGATGTCTGTAAATTACAGGCTATCCCAGTTTATAGCTACTGAGTTCCACATCACCCAAGTGAGATTCTCTCTCAAGAAAGTAAAAAAGTAAAATAGAAAAGAATTACATAGAATCAAACTATAAAGAAACATGTGTGGTTACATTTATCTAAAATTTAGAAACAGGCAAAATTCAATTATATGTTTAGAAACATATATTATTATATTCATAAAGAATTTTAAAAAAAAGCAGCAAGCTGTGAGCACACTGGTACCTGCCTTTAATCCCAGATTTGAAAGGCAGAAGCAGGCAGATCTCTAAATTCAAGGCCAGCCTGGTTTACAGAGTGAGTCCAAGGACATCCAGGGCTGTACAGAGAAACCCTGTCTCTAAACAAAACAAAACCTAAAACAAACAAGCAAAAAAAATGATATTTAGATTATACAGAGAATTCAGACCTTTCTTATTATTATTTTATTTACATGTATGTGTGTGTACCTGTGTGGGTTTATGTGCACATGTATGTTGAGGTGTTTGCAGAGAAAAGAGCACTGGATCCCCTGGAACTGGAGTACAGGTGGTTGTGAACTGCCTATATAGATGCTTGGAACCAAGCATGGGCTCTCTGAAGAGTAACAAGTTCTCTAAGACACTGAGCTATCTCTGCAGCTCCTGATTGAGATCTTTCATAATCGTGTCATATTTGCACAAGGCCTTCCATGATGCGCCATTGTAAACTACACCTCTCATATCATATCGAATGTGGATACTGAGGACAATATAGCCAGATAAATCTTCTTTTTAGTTCTTTTAGAATAAATCAGCCGTGATAGAATGGAACTCCAGATCATATGGAGTTATAAAGGTGAGCTTTTATTTTTTTTTACGTTTATTTACTCTTTATGTTATGTCCATTGGCATTTTGCCTGCTTGTATGTCTATGTGGATATGTCCTTGGAGTTACAGACAGTTGTGAGCTGCCATGTGGGTGATGGGATTTGAACTCTGTTCCTCTGGAAGAGCAGTCAGTGCCCTTAACTGCTGAGCTGTCTCTCCAGTCCCCAGAGATTGGCTTTTTAAAATATAATTTATTTTTATTTTATGCTCATTGGTGTTTTTCCTGCATTTATGTCTGTGTGAGGGTGTCAGAGCCCCTAGAACTGGTGTTACAGTCAGTTGTGAGCTGCCATGTGGTTGCTGGGAATTGAACCCAGGTTCTCTGGAAGAACACCAGTGCTCTTAACCACTAAGCCATCTCTCCAGCCCGGGATGGGGTTTCTTTCATCAGAATTTACCAGATTTTTATCAGAATTGCTTGTTTTTATTTCTGCGAATCACAGCTCAGAGATAAGGGAAAGGTTAAGCTGTAACTCCCTCATATCAACAAAGGAAAGTTGTTGCTGCCTGGGACTATTTATTTTTTTTATTTTTGGGTTTTTTTCTTTTTTTCTTTCTTTCTTTCTTTCTTTCTTTCTTTCTTTCTTTCTTTCTTTCTTTCTTTCTTTTTTTCTTTGAGACTAGGTCTGTCTATATAATCCTGGCTATCCTGGAACTCTTTTTTTTTTTTTTTTTTTTTTTGGTTTTTTGAGACAGGGTTTCTCTTATAGCCCAGGCTGTCCGCTATCCTGGAATTCATAGAGATCCTCCTACCTCTGCTTCTCCCAAGTGCTGGGATTAAAAAAAAAAAAAAAAGTTTGTTCCACCACACCCAAATGTACTGGGCCTATTTTGTTAATAATATAATCTCCAATTTTTTCTTATTGCTCTAAGGTTTATAGTCTGTGTTATATTCATTCTTTTCTCTACTTCCCTTCTTCCTAAAACAACCATCCCATATACAACTTCTATTTCTGTTTTTCTTACCCACCCTCATATTGTCTATGGTACTCACTATATGTCATTGCCTACCTAAGGCATTCTTTATTTGTTTCCTCTCTTATATTTATATTATTTATATCAACACCATTTGCTTTAATGAAATCTAGGTTTGCAGTATAACATAAACTATATGACTTCAAGCCCCATCAATAAGAGTGATAAATTCATAAAATATTTTTAACTTTTCTCAGTTTTAGAAGATTGAAGTGGTGGTGACCTAATTCAGAGGGAAAATAAAATCAAGGACAAATACATAGAATGAGTTCTACTCATCACTAATATAACATTGAACAGAGAAGATGAGTTTCAAGAAAACCATTTATTATTCATATCACTCCATTTTGTTCAACAAAGATTTCCTGCAAATATGACTCACAGGCAGTAAGCTTGCAAAGTTCTTCTAAATCTGTCATTAATAATACAAACTCTTCAACAAGGAAGAAAAAGCAGGTTACCGCAATGGATGGGAGAAATTGCCTTTCACAATTAGGTCTGATAGAACTCCAATAGGAGAGAGCCATTATGAAAGCAATCAAAGCATGAAAAGTCTTAGCTATAAGGAGAATCTTCCTGAGCACCCAAAGTTTCAAACATTGGAACAAGATTTCAGTGGTAATGGAACTGGAAAATCTGTGTTTGGGCTGTGTCACACTTAAGGATTCTTATACAGAAGAGGAACCCTGCGAAGACAATGAGTATAGGAAAAACTAGTAAAAACAACTTTCTCTGACCACAGAAGAATTAGCTCAGAGAAACATCCTTGTCTTTACCAGTACAGAACATCCTCGAAGCAGTCAGCTCTGGAGGGAGACGATGAATGTATTAGTCTGAAACACTTTGAATATAATGCATGTGGGAATAGTTGCAGGCAGTCACTGTTCCTTTGACCTTAGAAAACTGTCATAGGAGAACATCTGTTAGAACCTAAGAACAAGACTCATACTGAGGATAAGTCATGTAGATGTCATGAAAATAGACCATATCAGACACTACACAAAATATATCAAAGATCTCACGGTGAGATAAAACCCTACAACTGTAATGAACGTGGGAAATCCTTCTGTCAGAAAGGACATCCTGTTCAACATCACAGAACTCACACAGGCAAGAAACCATCTGCATGTAATGACTGTGGAAAGGCTTTCTCCCAGAAGTCAGTACACAGCAGAGAATCCACACGGCAGAGAAACCGTGTAAATGTAACGGATGTGAGAAAACATTTGTCCAGAAGTCAGCTCTCAAGAGACAACGGAGAATCCACACAGGAGAGTAATCACATGAATGTAGTGGATGTGAGAAACCATTTGAACAACAGTCAACCTTCAGAGGACAGCAGGGAATCCACACAGGAACAAAAGCCTTTCAGTGCACTGTATGTGGAAAAACTTCTGGTCAGAAATCAAACTGGAGAATACATCAAAGAACTTAAGGTGAGAGAAAAAAAAAACTTACCAATGTAATGAACTTGAAAAATCTTTCTGGCAAAAGGATCATCTCCTTCAACATCAAAGAATTTACATAGGAGAGAAATTGTTCAAATGTCATGACCGTGAAAAAAAATTTTCCCTGACATCAACCCTTAGGGTACACTAAATAATCCACACTGGAAAGAAACCATTTAAGTGTAATCAACATAGGGAATCATTTGTATGAAAGGCAATCCTTAGTGACCATGAGAGAACTTGTACGGGGAGAAATCCTTCCAGTGTAATGAATGTGAGAAAACTTTTAGCCAATTAGCTGAAGACTTAGAATCTTAGTCAAACCTTAGACTACGTCAGAGAATTCATTATTGGAAGAAGTCTTATGAACTCAGTAAATATGGGTAAGGTCTGCTTTAAATATATACCAGAGAATTCCGGGAGAGAGGATGTCCTGAGGATAAATCTTTCTGACAAAAGAATCATCCATTTGACCTATGAAGATTTTGACAAAAAAAAAAAAAAAAAAAAAAAAGCTCTTCAAAATCTGTAAGGAAACAGCTCTTGGTGTCAGTGCATTTATGTAGCAACCCGAGCTGCCTCACATTCTGGGGGCCATTTTGTAACCGCCCGTTCTGCTGCTCCGGTCCATGGGTCAGGGCCTAGCAAGAGAGAGAGTGGGGACGGAGACTCGAAGAATGGAGACAAGACAGGGAGTCTGATCAAGTCTCGTTTATTGGAAGGAAATCCTGGGTATTTATACCCTTTACCACGTGCCTTGCCCTCGTGGACAAGCACAGCTGAAGGCACTATGTCATGTGCCTTGCAGCGTGGATATCACGTGCACCTAGCTAGCAGTGAGGAGACCACGTGCACCTAGCAGCACGTGCACCTAGCTAGCAGTGAGGAGACCACGTGCACTCAGCAGCGTGGATATCACGTGCGCCTTGCAGCTGGTGGCACTAAACAGCAAAACAAGATATATGAGAAAAACAAGATATTTATCAGAGTGTGCTCAGCTGTTGTAGGCTGTTGAAAACAAGTCTCTTGTCAGGGTATATGGGTCGAGATGGCTGCAAAGATGATAGCCGCTTTCGGCTAGGAGTCGGCTCCCAACACATGTACAGAAAAGCAGGATTCAGCAGGAGAAACCATATTACTGACTATGGATGTTTGAAAAGCTTTGTTCCAAGCCTACCTGTAGGAATTTCAAAGAACTCACAGAGGCTTCTGGCTCTTTCTATGAAAACTCCTTCCATATGAAACCATATCTTGTTAGATAAATCTCACAAATCAAAGAGTCTGGTATTCTGTCCATAAGTCATGATCTCATTTTTCCTTCAAGCAGTAGCCCCTCTAGAATTTCCTGTCTCCATTTCTTGTAATCCTCACTTTGTGACTGACTGCTAGAACAGGGTGCCTATGATTTATGACATAACCAGGTCTGATAAATACGAGATCCCCCGAGATATGACAGGGCCCCTCAGAATAAAATGAGTGTGAGGACCCAGGGGAAGTCTTATCTGATTAAAAAAAAAAAAAGCACTTGCCACACAAGCCTAATAACCTGAGTTAGGTCCCCTGAAACCACATAGAATGAAAGATATGTTGACAAGTATCTGTAATCCCAGCATTTCTACTGTGAAACGGGAGCTGGATAAAGAGAAATCAGCTAAAAGCTCTTGGGTCAGTACCCTTGAGTACATGACCAGGGGAAGAAACAACAGAGACTCTACCTCAAACTAGGTGGAAAGAGAGAGGTGCCCTCTGACCTCCAAATGTAGCAGAAGACACCTCCAACTCTACTCCTCCCCCATACTAAATAAATGAAAAAAATAATAATAAAATGAATCTGGCTTCTAGGTCGACCTTGGATGCTATGTATTAATGCCATTTTTAAAGAGGATAAGAAGGAAAGCTACCTGAATAAATATTGGGAGTAAAACTCTTGACATTTTTAGTAGTTGAACATTTTGTGAGCAAAAAAATCAAACCTTTATTATATTTCATTGTTTTGATCTGTTTCTGTGGTTAGTGTAAATGTTTTACTGCTAAGAGGCTAAAGACTGTTGTCAAGAATATGTCAGTCAGAATGTACAAACTTTGTCAGGTTATTGGATTCAGGAGTCCCTCAAAGGTCATCAGAAAATTCATACAAAGGATATCTGAAGTGGAAATCTCTGGTTTCTTTGAAGACTCGGTTGTATCATGTGATGTTTTTCTGGAAACTGTCTCATGAGAGGATGTTTTGCTGAAGCAGGCACTTGGCGGGGGGGATGTTTTGCTGAGAGCAGACACATGGTGTTTTTTCTGGAAGCTGTCTAGAAGGGGGCATGTGATGTTCTGCTAGAGCAGATGCTGGAGAGGACAGGTAATGTTTGGAAAGGGTATAAATATATCCCAGCAGACAGTGGATGATGATGCTGTACAGGCACTGGTTCACCTGGCCTTCTTTGCTGATGGTCATTTGCTGTGACTTCGAAAAGAGAAATGCACCAAAGAATTTTTGGTGATATTCCAGTGATTTCTTGGCACTTCTGCGTGGACTCGGGCTGATTGGCAGGGCCTCACTGCCTCTTCTGGATAGAGCCACTGCTGCTGATGTGAACTGAACTGCTGATATCCTGACAACAGAGATTGGATTTGCTCCAAAGAACTATTTCTAAACAGGTCCACATACTCCTTTGTCCTATCAACTTTTACACTACCTCTGGTGAGCTAGAAGGGAGGTTAAAGCATTTAAGAACCCTTATTAAGGGCTGGAGAGATGACTCGGAGGTTAAGAGCACTGGCTGCCCTTCCTGAGGGCCTCAGTTCAATTCCTAGCAACCACATGGTGGTTCACAACCATCTGTAATGAGATCTGGTGCCCTCTCCCGGCCTGCAGGCATAGCATACATGCAGACAGAGTGCTAAATACATAATAAAAAATAATAATGAATCTCTTAAAAATGATTGTAAAAAAGAACCCTTTATTAAAGTAGGGTTTGAAAAATCTAAGCCAGCCAGGTGGTGGTGGCGTGTGCCTTTAATCCCAGCACTTGGGAGGCAGAGACAGGCAGATTTCTGAGTTCGAGGCCAGCCTGATCTACAGAGTGAGTTCCAGGACAGCCAGGGCTATACAGAGAAACCCTGTCTCAAAAAACAAACAAAAAAAAAAAAAAAAGAAAAAAAAAGAAAAAAAGAAAAATCTAAGCCTACAGATATCCCTTTTCTTTAAATTTATTTATTTATTTATGAGTGTACTGTAGCTGTCTCCAGACTCACCAGAAGAGGGTATCCTATCCCATTACAGTTGGTAGTGAGCCATCATGCTGGGAATTGAGCTCAGGATCTCTAGAAGAGCAATCAGTGCTCTTAACTGCTGAGCCAGCTCTCCAGCCCTACAGATATCCTTTTGAAATAATGGAATAGATGTTAACAACAAATACAGGACTTTGGATTAACCTAAAATATTGGATTTTGTTGATTTATTTAGTTGACTGAAGAGCAGTCCGCTTGTATAGTGGTTCTATACTTTTGGTGAACTAATTTGTCTAGAACTACTCCTTTCTCGGGCTCCTAGAACTTTCTTATAACCAGCCATAGCTTCTTTAAAAATACAAATTTCAGCTGGGTGTGGTAACACAAACTTTAATCCCAGCACTTGGAAGGCAGAGGCAAGTGGATCTCTATGAGTTTGAGGCCAGCCTGATCTACAAATTGAGTCCAGGACAGCCAGGGCTCTGTTACACAGAGAAACCCTGTCTCAAGAAACCAAAACAAAACAAAGCCCTGTGGGTAGAGGGAAACTAATGGCCACTAGCAGTAACATGGATATTCTGTG